AAACTAAACGCAAACCCGTCATTCCAGCCCACAGTTTCTGGGTGAAAAATACCAAAGTTTACTTGCTGAAGGCCTAAAGATTTGTTTTATAATCAAAACATAAAGTATAAACCCAACAATGAAGTCCTAGGCAAGGACAAGTTTGTTTATTCTGGAATAAACAGAGCATGTGCTACAGTAGTAATGTCCCACACTTTTTAAGGTATTTTAATGTAATTTTAAAGATGCAAAAAAATTTCATATTTAGCCAATAGTAGAGGTAACACACTCAAAATACCTCCAGGATTCGTTGTTTTTCTTAATGCTCAGTAGTCTGAACTGCGTATACCGTTATTTCTTTTTGATGCCATGGATTCAAGTACTCCGAGGTGGAGGTGGAGGGAAAGAAAGCAAGGGAAGGCCGGAGGCAGAGTGTTAGCAGCTCCTTCAAAGGCAATGAGAAAAGGGAGACTCCCCATTTTGATCGATTACAAGTTTTAAAGGAATCCTGTCTTTTTGTCTTTGCTGCCAAATTGAACTTCTTTTTGAGGGAGAGTGTGGAGTCGACTGGATGACTCATCCATTTTTATGGGCTTAACATTCAACCACCTCAACTTTAAAAACTCTCCCTTTCAGTCCTTAAATCCTAACCCTCATCATCGTCTGAGGTCAAGAAAGTGAATGTGTGTGTCACCGTTTATTTGTCTTTGTTATGTCTATACAGGAAACTGTTTTAGTTAAGGTAGAGCTATCTTCAAATGCTCAATTGTGTTTCGTTGTTGCAGTCGGAACACACACAAAAAGCCCACTTCATCCTGTCATCAGTTTCTGGTTTATCACTTTATCCTCTCAGTATCCTTTGTGTCCATGCATGTGTGCGTATGATACAATATGATAATATACAAACTAGTGTTTATACAATTGGTTTTTTGTGTAACTTTGAGGCCTACAGTTAAATAAATACTCATGTGTGTAACTATATTTTATGCTGTTGCTGTCTGGCAGATATATTGCCAATTTAACTTTCTTCGCTGATATTTTCTGGCTATTTTCTGCGTCTCTGGTAGGCCGGATGTCGTCAGTTTTAAATGTTGCCTTACTTGTCTTTCTTACTTTCTTTGAAGTAATCAAATCAGGAAGACTGGAGCAGTTCGGTGGTACTCGAGTCCGGTCCCTATTGTCTCGAACTTGTCTTGGACTTATTGGTATTTTGCATTCTTGGCCATTGGTCTCACCAGATATTCTAGCTGGTCCCGTATGACTCCAGCAATATATGTTTCTTCATTGAAGTACATTTCTCCTTCAAAACTACTGATGAAGTTCAGCGCTTGTTCTGAAAACTTGTATTGGGGGGGGGGGGTGGGGGGGGGGTTTGGGTTTTTTTTTTTGGGTTTTTTTTTTTTTTTCCCCCGCTTCTTGTTACATGTTAAGGTATCCTTTAATCTTGAAATCTATGAATCCCAGTTTCTGTCAATGGACTTTGCCATCACTGAATGTGTGTGAAAGGGTGAACATAGTAATTTGGGGGAAGACTAGAAAGGGCTATACAAGTACAGGTAACTATTGGTTTAAATTTGAAATCTAGAATCCCAGTCAATGTCATTTGTAGTTGTATGGCTGGCTGCCAAAACTCATGTCATTGGCATTGGAAAAAGCATTATTTTTTTCCTGTCTTGGTCTTGACTCTCTCATTTGAACAAGGTCTTGACTTAGACTCAAATGTCTTTGGACGTGGTCTTGACCCTGTCTGGACTAGTCCTAGTCTTGGACTCCACAAAAGTGGTCTTGACTACAGCACTGGACTGGAGTTAAAGATTCCTCATTAAACTATTTATAGCCTGTTGGCGCTCCCGCTTACATTTCTTTCTTGATTAAAAAGATACAATGCAAGTGTGCATATGTGCACAGTTTCAGAAAATATACATAAAACTTAATCATGATGTACTAAAAAAGTCCAAACCACCAACTGTCTCAAGCACTGGAGCTGCATTCTGGATCTTACTGTACTTGAACCACCCAGGTGTGAATGTATGTAATCTCCATATGGATTTGAATCAGGGTAGTGTTGGAAAAAGAGCATAGCTGCTTAGCAAGCGCTTCCCTGAATAAATAATGAGGTTGGAAAAAATTTAATTGGACAATGAATCAATGTCCTCAATACCTTGTTTAGGTTCTGTGGTGAGGCTCGCCTTTCTGTTTAGATCTGGATCATAGATCGGGGCTCGGAGGGAAAAGCCTCTCCTTGTAATTAACTATTATAAAACATTACACAGAGAGCCCATGGCGTTGGTGTGTAAAATAAAAGGCCTGAACAGCCATCCACTGTTTACACAAATAGCAACCACACTTGGCTGTGCCTGCCTGGAATAGCTCACACACACGCGCACACACACACACACACACACACACACACACACACACACACACACACACAAAACAGAGAAGCAAATGGATACACACAAACAAAACTCATGAAAGATTTTCGGAAAAAACATGTGATGTCTTACAGTGATTACGTTATTCTTGATGTGTCTTTCCTACCCATTTCTCTCTTTAGACATGTTATAAGTCATTTCTGTTGCACTGGGCAGAATACCGACACTTTAATATGCCTCTCAGACATGGCTTTCAATCTAAGTCGACTTGGAGGAGAGTGAAAGAAATTAAAATATAAAAAGCAGTGAGGGGCGATTTGTGATTTGGGCTGAGCTGGTTCGGTTGAGGCCGTTCGGGCTGGCCAGAGTTGTAATTTGCCTGCGGGGATCTGGCTGCAATGTGGTGGATCGTCTGTTCTCCCTTGTCATTTACTTGTCTGTGTGTGGCTTGATGTTAGTGTGGATGTGTGTGTCCACCGTCCTCTGTGACGCACAACCAAACTAACCTCTCCACTGCCTGGACACACTCCAGCCCTCACTTTGTATCTTGCATGTATATGTGTGTGTGTGGGTGTGTGTGTGTTTTCTCTTCTGCCTTTTCATATTCTGCTTCATTACATTCAGAATGGCTGCAACTCAATCAGTCAACAATCCCTCAAATCGTTCAACTAGTTTTCACAGTGGTAGCTTTTTTTTATTACAAGACTCTCCACTTACAGCTTTAATGCCAGACATGATTTTCACCTAAAGAGAAGGAGCTCTTTGCCAAAGGAAAAATATCTGAAGATGTGGCAGTTTGTGAGTTTGTGGCTTGATGAAGGGGTGCTAAGCCGTCTACAGGCACACCGCAACATGAAATCATTATTACTGATATCCGCATTTTACTAGGAAATTACATATTCCAAAATCTGCTTAAACCTGTATTAAGTTATAAATGTAATGTTACCATATCTCCATGGAATTGTCAGACCACTGCTATATAGTTCTGTGTGTGTGTGTGTGTGTGTGTGTGTGTGTGTGTGTGTGTGTGTGTGTGTGTGTGTGTGTGTGTGTGTGTGTGTGTGTGTGTGTGTGTGTGTGTGTGTGTGTGTGTGTCCGTCCATGTCTGGAAAGCCCATTTAGATCTGCAGAGACAGGGATAGAGAGAGCTGACCTTGGCCCTTCAGTCACTTAACACTCCTCAGAGAGAGGGAACCTAGTGACCCTGTACTCGCACCAAACTTACAGACCCCTGGCATTACAAAGGCTGTGTGTGTGTGTGTGTGTGTGTGTGTGTGTGTGTGTGTGCGCGCACCATTGTCACCTTGTTTTAAGTTGCATCTTCCAAGGCTTTTTTAGTGCAGTTTTTACAGTCTGTGCAGTAATCAGTGTAATTCACACGCTCTTACGTCCCTTGTAAAGTATCTGATTCTATTCTACGGAGGCAGCAGACATGGTTGGATGATAATGAAGCGTCAAGCCTCGAGAGGCTTTATTTAACAGTTAAGCACAATGTGAAATTAAGCAGTGCGTTTTAGCTAAACAAAGTTGTATTCAAGCCAATCAGAGTTGAAGACTGCACTGCATCTACCCACTTGATAATTTAACGAATTAAGTATTTTCCAAAATGTCCCGCTCTGGTCAGTTTCAGTTGGAGCACTTCTGTTTGCCATTACTCGAGCAGTAGTGTCTGAAGCATGAGGATGCACTTTCAATCAGCCAATAGCTACAATATGGTTATTTTTTGCTTGGTTTTGCGTATGTGTGTGTGCATGTGCAGTGGCATCATGCACTCCCCTATATATTGTGGTTATGCCTGGTCTTAAAGTCCCCATATGGCACAATTTAAAGCACATGACACAGTGATCTCACGCTGAGCATAGCCTGCTAGTCAGCATGTGGTTTGTGCGTATGTACACGTACGAGTGGGTGTATACCAAAAGAGAGAGGTGAGGGATTGGGGCAGAACAAGAATGAGGGAGGGAGATGAACAGATTAAAAAGGAACGGCAAGAACAGAGAATGACTACGTAAAACGTTGAAAAAGGACAAAAATGTCAAGTCACCAAAGGAAGTAAAAGTTGTGAAAACATGATCAAGCTCTCTCTCTCTCTCCCTCTATCTCTGTGTGTGTGTGTGTGTGTGTGTGTGTGTGTGTGTGTGTGTGTGTGTGTGTGTGTGTGTGTGTGTGTGTGCGCGCATATGTTTCAGATTATGGCTCATGATGACATCTCTCTGCCATAAACAGGAATAAAGTTAAACAGCCAAACATTAATTCCTAATGCGGTTTACTTCTGTGAACTGGTCTGTGTGTGTGTGTGTGTGTGTGTGTGTGTGTGTGTGTGTGTGCGTGTGTGCGTGTGTGCGGGCGTGCGTGTGTGTGTGTGTGTTTCAGATCTCTGCCTTTGACATGAATATGATTTATTAAGCAAAGGAAGACCTGTTGGTTTAGGACCAGCAACTAGATGGTTTTCTGTCATTGTCAAACACAGACTGCCCTCAAGTGGAATTTTGGTGTATTGCAGCATCTGTCACTGTGCAGATGTCTCCTTGCTCTTCTAGTGATGCACATATTGCAGATCCACTTCATGTGTTATTAATATTGTTGTGATATCTGTGAAAAAAGTTTTTTTAAATTTCTCTGAACTCTCTCCTCTGTCTTTGTCAGGGAGGATTTTGATGAAGAAGGATTCTGCCAGCCGTACAGAGGTATAGCCTGCGCCCGTTTCATCGGTAACCGCAGCATCTTTGTCGACTCGCTGCAGATGCAGGGCGAGATCGAGACCCAGATCACTGGTAAGAAACAGAAACAGGCGATGTGTATAACTGGGTTTGACCTCCTTTACTGCAGAAAATCAATTTTGCTTATACTCAAGAATATCGAGAAAGGTCTAAATATACTTTTACTTGTACAGTAGGAGGCATTCATTCATTTTTCTGCAGCACTTTGGTTCTCTTGGTTCAAGTTATTGGGCATTTCCGAACCAGTATCTAAACAGATTCTGTCTAAATGTGCTTTTTATGTTAAGTTAAGTTAAGTTAATTCAGCCATATTTAATGTGATCTATACATTCAATTACTAATATATGCATCTCCATTAAATGTTGCCAGATCACCAAACATAACATAACATAGTTTTTAAGGACAAACTAGCAGTTTCCTCCCAGGCATTTTGTGTCTGACAGGAAAAGCTGACAGCCTGCTTTCATTCAGTGAGTTCACTAGTTCAACCATCATTTAGCAATTCTGTCTTGAGGAGCCAAACCCTGCTCACATATGTCTTCAGCAACCAGGGCTGATGGAGCACCTTTGTAAAGCTGCCTTCTCCTCATACACTGAATCAATGAAAACCATCTGCGAATGAGGACTGTTTAGAAGGTAAACCTTAACTAATATGCAGTAGGAAGAAAACAGGACGTCACTTATGGAGTTCAAAGGAAGTTCAGTAGGGTCACCACCATGCACATACAGTACTGTTTCATGCTGTTGTACACGTCTGTGTGTCTGCTTCTGTGTTTTTGTTAGCGTGTTTGCATGCATATGTCCTCAGAGGTCACTTTAATGTGTATGTTATTGATTACATCCGTGCAGCTGTCAGCTTCAGGGACAAAGGGGCCATGAACTGAGACTCAAATCTGAAACATCAAGGGCGAGTGATAATTAAGATTTATAGTGCCACTGGGTCGTAATGAGCCTACAGTAGCACTGTAAATCATATATTACGTTCCCAGAACATCCACATTCGGTAGCCATTCACCATCTTAAATATAATATCACTTTCACTGATCTTGGATATCATTTGATTCAAGCAGCATGTGCTGCAGGAGCGTTTGGATAACTGCCAGCTTAAGCTATCCACTTTATAATCAGTTGTCTTCTCCTCCACCCCCCCACAGAGCTGCTTTACTGATAATCACAACCACAGCAAAGCATATGTTTGCAATAACTGTACAGTCTGACTATGAATCATACATTTACAACTGCAGCTTTCATTGTCAGTCTCCCTCTTTGATCCTTCAAGGGTTCAGATACTCAAAAGTTAATAGCAACGTGAGCACAGGATTGCTTTTAAACTCCTTGTGTCTTCTTTATGTCTTTTAATAAATGTCAATCAAAGAATATATGAAATTATTGATTTTTATTCAGTCTCTTATCTCTTAAACATCAACAAAACCGTAATATACATGCTAAATTTATAGATGAATTATAGATGATATGTTGTTTTAAAAGAAAGTCTCCCCTCTTTCCAGCGGCTTTCACCATGATTGGAACATCCAACCATTTGTCCGATCGTTGCTCCCAGTTCGCCATCCCGTCTCTATGCCACTTCGCCTTCCCGACATGCGACCGCAGCTCTGGAACTGACAAACCTCGGGACCTGTGTAAGGACGAGTGTGAGATCCTGGAGAACGACTTGTGTAAGACAGAGTACATCATCGCCCGCTCAAACCCCATCATCCTGAAGAGGCTGAAGCTGCCGAACTGTGAGGATCTGGCTGTCTCTGACAGCCCCGAGGCTGCCAACTGTCTCAGGATCGGCATCCCCATGGCCGAGCCCATAAACAAGAGTAAGACTTCCTTTATTAATACTGCTAATAAAGCTCATTACTGTTATTATTATTATGAGGAGAGGCATCGCTGTGGCCCCTAATGTAACTGCTAACAGAAACTCTTATTATTGGGGCAAAGTATGGTTAAACGTAGGCTGTAACTAACAATCATTTACATTGTTGATTCATCTGCAGCTTATTCTTTCTAATATCTGATGAGCATTTAGTCTATGAAATGTAGTGGGAAACATCCATCACAACTTCCCAGACCCCAAAGTGACAAAGTCAAACAAACTGTCCAAAAACCAACAATATTGAATTTACTCTCAACAAAGAAAAGCAGGAAATCTGCACATTTAGATAAACTGGAACCAGCAAATTGAGCATTTTGCTTGAAAAAATGACTTTGAAATTAATTACCAAAATAGTTTTTGTTGGATCTTTTGGTTCAACTAATTGATTACTCAGCTTATCATTTCAGCTCTAGTCAAAGTTACAAGAGATTTGACTCTAGTCTTCAGTTACTCTTAAAGTATTTATATTTGCAGACATCAGGATGAAACATTGTAATACACAAATTCACATAGTCCTTCTCACAACACGCATGTTAGTTTATCATTCCCCTTTCAACAAACTGTATCATTAGCAATCAGCTTAAAAAACAACGACAGAAACTTAACCTTACAGATACCTAATGCACAACCACGCCTTCTTCTCCCCCAGATCACAAGTGTTACAACAACAGTGGGTCAGACTACAGAGGGACAGTCAGTATGACCAAGTCTGGGCGTCAGTGTCAGCCGTGGAACTCCCAGTATCCTCACAGCCACACCTTCCTGGCCCTCCGCTACCCGGAGCTGAACGGAGGACACTCGTACTGCCGCAATCCTGGGAACAAACACGAGGCCCCCTGGTGCTTCACGCTGGACGAGGGGGTCCGCATGGAGCTCTGTGACATAGCCATCTGTGGTAAGAGACTAGAATGTGTTTAAGTCTATATTAGTGAGATTTATATGTCATGTGTAATGCTGTCTTTGTAGCACATTTGTAGATATTTGTTTTTATGTTCAAAACATTCTTATCAGTATGCCAAAGAGCTGCAACTAATGATTATTTTTCTTGCTTTGGTGTAAAATGTCAGAAAATAGTGAAAAATTACCATCACAAGCCCCATGTTGTTTTTTTAACAGCAGTCCAAAACCCAATTAAATATTTAACCTTTTTCTATCACATCAGGAAAATCGCTTAACAAAATGTCAATCAGCTAATCAATTAATTGCTCTACTATGCCTCTTTATCAATGTTGCCCAGTCATGCAGTAACCCATACATCTAATATTATTCCTCTCTCTCCGTCCACCCCACAGACCATAAAGACAAATCTGGCGGCGGCAACATGGAGATCTTGTACATCCTGGTTCCCAGTGTGGCGATCCCATTGGCCATTGCCTTGCTCTTCTTCTTTATCTGCGTGTGCCGCAACAACCAGAAGTCCTCCAGGCCTCCTGCCCCCCGCCAGCCCAAACCGGTCCGAGGACAAAACGTTGAGATGTCCATGCTCACAACTGCATACAAGCCGAAGGTAGAGTGACAGTGACAGCACATGAGACTGTGGGTGGGGGGAGTGAATGATGGAGGCTCTGCTCTCCCTCACTGAGACTTAGACACTAGGGTGGTCCATTATTTTCAGTTTTTGATGCCCTTTCACCTCTCTGTCCATGTACACATTACACATCGCAAAGGAGAATTTAGACTAAAATTAAAGAGGATATATGAAAATGTATATAATGTATATAATACAGTTTCAATTAATCATCTAACATTACAAATATAATATAGCACTTGAGGTTCAGCTACATAAGTTAATGATGACAAACTCTCAGTTCAGTAGAGTGTGCTGTATCTTAGGTCACAGTTCATGTTCACACTGATTTATTACAAACAAACCAAGAGCAGTAAACATGACATCATACTGACTGACAGTTAACTCATTGATTGGACAGTTTTGGTGATGTCATCTTGCATCATCAGTGCTGCAGGGCTCCATGTGGGGAAATCTAATGCCAGAGACCGACAGTGCTGAACTGCTTCTTAAGTGTTTGTGTCCTCTGGAAGAAATCATTTATTATGGTGATTTGTTGTTGTTGTTGTTGGACCTCATACTGTATACCCTGTATGATAACAGGTACAAACAGGAAGCATCTTGTACATTTATATTACACTGTGAGGGATAGTTACTGTTTGCTCACTTCTTAAGTATGTTCTCGCATAAATATATACGCATGCATGTGTTACAAATCGCTCAGGCCTAAAAGATCCACGTATGAACTGCAGCAGAGTTCACTTGGAAGGGTTTGGTGGTTTGGTTTACACCAGAGATTGATTGAAAGCTGTCACACCAGCCTAAATGAACCAAACTAACTGGAAAAGTACACCCTAGACTCATGACTCATGGAGACTCTGCACATAATGCCACTGACGTGTTAGTCCTCCATTATCCACGCCTTTCCCTAGTCTGCCACATTCTCAACCAAACATATCAGAAGTATAAACAGAAGTATATTCTCCCCCATTCACTGCTTATAGAACAGCAGCAGTGCTGCTAAAAACACACTTTCATACACTCACACAGGATTTTAGATTCTCCCGTGGTGAATCTAGACCAGTGCTCTCTTTCTGTGTTTGTCTTTTTAAGTCACAAGAGCAGACTGGGGAGGAATCAAAACACTGTGTGTCAACTGGGATGCATCACAGCATGATGGGGTTACTGGCTTGAGTGTGTGTGGAAATGACCTGTCTCAGGCAAAGCTTCAGATCTCTATCATCAGAGCTCAGCAGGTCCAGGAATGTTCAACTGCAGTTCTTTTTCCTCTGTTTATTTCTCTCCTGCTGTCTCTTTTTCCTCACACTCCTCCTCTCACGCCTGCTCTCACTTAATCCATCTTTCTTTGTTGCTCTTCTTCTGTCTCTCCCTCCATCCCTTTACTTTCTGGACCTCTTTTTCATCCCTCACTCTCTCCTTCCTCCCCTCCCTCTCTCACAGAACCTCTTTGTAATGTAGATCATCGAGCCCTTGCTCTGCCAGCCAACACATAGCTCACATTAGGACCTGTATCATATTTCTTTTAAGGTTGCACACTCAGTCATATCATGTCTGTTTATCTTTTTCCACATCATTTTGGTGGTGGTGGAGGTGGAGGTTGTGGGAAGGGGGGTTATCTAGACAACGTGTCTGCTTGTGCAAACCAGAGCTGATGCTCAAGGTAATGTGTATAATATTACCGTCAACAGCTGTAGGGAGAACCGCAAAATGTGACCGAAGCGTCAGAAGCCATTAATATCTGTGGTTTATTTTGTTTTTTTGCAATGGAACTAATGTTTCATTGACCTAAAAAGGAGTCTCTCCTCGCTGTGTTGAGATGACTACCTTGTATCTGCAAGGAGTCAAGGTAACTGGAGATCAAAGAAAGTTTTTCTGAGTGACAACCATGCAAGTTATGGAATTATACTGTGAATTTTAAATGGTCTTTGTGGACTACATGGGCCTGGAATATGGTGCACAGGCTGAATAACCATCCATGTTAGGATTTGAAAAGCAAAAAAAAGATTTTACAGAAGTGCAGTTCCCACCTCTGTTTCCAGTACGTGTATCTAATCTGGTAACCAAATAGTTCAACATGATCATTTGAATAAATGAGCATTTGCATGTGATTTCTACCCTTTAACACCTTTTTGATTATACAGTCATTTATGTATATCATTGCAAGTCTCCCTTCTCGACCCCTGTAATCTACAACTTTGTCTTGGGTAAGGTTTAGGTTGCTACCCAGAAGGCTTTGCTGCAGGGTCACCCAGGGGCTATTGCCTGTGACAATCCCTTTAGACACACATAAACATACACACACACAAACCTGCTGCGGTGTCAGGAGGATCTGAGGGTTTGGGTGTGGGGAGAAATGAAGGGGTGAAACAAACCCATAACTAAAAACATCTGTGTGTCTCATAACATCAGCAGGCCCCCACATTTGCCTCATACACATACTTAGACACATACACACACACACACACACACACCCCACACCCCCCTCAGAGATCATACAGGCCTGTGTGTCTCTCTCCTGCTCACTGAGGAATTTCATTATTCATCTCAGAGTTCCTGGAATCTGAAAATCTCTGCCAACCTCTCCTCACCTTTTATCTACACACACACACACACACACACACACACACACACACACACACACACACACACACACACACACACACACACACACACACACCTACTGAAGCTCACTCTCTCTCTCTGTCTCTCTCTCTCTCTCACACACACACACAAACACACACACACAAACCCAAAAATATCCACACTCCCTCTCTTTCTGAGATCACCTGGAGAGCAAGTCATGAACGATAGACAACCATATGAAACAGACAGACACAGACAAAGAACTCTCACTCACTCACTCACACACACACACACACACACACACACACACACACACACACACACACACACACACACACACACACACACACACACACACAGGCAGAGAGTTTACTGTCAATCTCTGGATAATAGTGTATCTTCTAGTTGTGTTTTTAAAAATGAACCTTTATTTACTGTGGTTTTGCATCAGTTGCATCTTCTTCTAGCATTGCACCAACAGTAACGTTAACGTTGGCATATTGTCAGTGTTTATTCTCATTGATAATCATCTCATTTGTTTGCCTTGATACTGCTTCCTCATTTGGACATAACCAAATGAAACACCTTCCTTTCATCAGATTTACCAAACATTAAATCCACGTACTACTAAAATTAGTAAATTAAAATAAGTATAAGTGTATATAAAATAAGTAAGTGATTTAGTTATTGCCCTGTCAATTGAACCTGGTCTCAGTTTGTAGTGTTCAATATAAGAGACATCAGCTGTCACTACATCAGCTGTCTGGGATTTGAATACATTTGCTAAATGTGTTGTTAAATTGCTCTTTAATTACAAAGTAGATTTGAGTCCAACTGAATTATAAAAAAAAGTTTGTGACCCTGTTATAACCCTGCAGTTCATCAGTCCTGTTGTTGGATTTAGCTGTACAAATAAACCTCCTAGAAAATGACTAAAAAGGCAATTTCCCCCTTCACAAAGCAAAGAAAGCTATCATCTTTTTCTGTTGTTCCTACAGCTGATTCCTCAGTTTTACTGGCAAGAGAATTAGTCTTAGTCTTCCTAAAAGCTGCTAATGTGTCAGTTAAATGACATCTTAAAGCTTTGAATGTGTTGCCAGAGTTTACAGTTTTCCCACATAGCTTCCCAAAGGCTTAAAGGGAGTCATTAGGAGCTGATGTAATGGATTGAGTCTGATTATTTCAATTATCAACTCTCAGGGCTATACTTTGTTTTTTTTCCACTCAAACACATATTTGATGTTATATTAGGCAGCTCGCCTGCATCGAATTAGGAGCACCAATGTAAACTTCATGTCAACATTTCACTTTTCCATACAAGGATAATGGTGAGGAAAGAGCACTGGCCTAAGAAAATAATGATCTAATTTTTCTGTCACATCTCTCTGACCACTGATCTCACTTCTTCCTTCTTCTCTCTGCAGAGTAAGGCCAAAGAGCTTCCCCTATCGGCTGTACGTTTCATGGAGGAGCTTGGGGAGTGCACTTTAGGGAAGATCTACAAGGGTCACCTGTATCTGCCTGGCATGGACCAGGCACAGCTTGTGGCCATAAAGACCCTGAAGGATATCTCCAATGTCCAGCAGTGGACTGACTTCCAGCAGGTACAGAATGGATCCCTGCCTCCAAAGCTTTAGGCTTATTCTAACCAGTTCTGTTAGTTAGGCCAAGTTAAAGAAATATGAAATAAAAAATGTGTGAACATATAATATTGGTGAGGACACCAATGAAAAAAAATCAACAAGGGGTAACCTACATAGCAGCTCTAAGGCTAAATAGTTAGTCATGTTAAAAGATATGCTTTTTCAAACTGGCAATTGTGTGTGAATTGCTAAAATTAAATGTGGTATCAAAATAATCTACTGTTTTAAACTACAAGGGACTATTTCCCCAGTGGAAAGACCTCTCTTTCCCACAGGACTTGAAGCATGACTTGTTATATTTGCACAGAAGGAGACGTGGTGGCCATGACAGACTGTATACATCTTAAGATCACTGGGTAGCAGATTAATTCACTGGAAATAGTTCCAAAAATAAACTTTAACTACTGCCAGATTGTCCTGATAAATTTAGATGTTAAGGAGGGTTGAAACAGCTGACTCGTGAAAACATAATCCTAGCTTTCAATGCACAGAGAATGAGGTAGACCTGAACTCCCAGCCTTTAAAGTGACACACCAACGATCTCTCTTTTAAGTTTGAAACACTCCAACAAACGTCTTATGACCAAAAAGTAGATTTAAACTTAAGCCTCACTTGAGAAGGCTCCAATGAGCACATAAAAAGTCCTTCCACAAAATGTTTTGTTTAAATAAATCTGCCACATTTGTCTTTGCTTGAAGTTCACTGACTTTTTGGTGTCCATCTCAGGAGGTGGCAGTGCTGACAGAGCTGCAGCACCCAAACGTGGTTTGCCTGCTGGGAGTGGTGACACAGGAGCAGCCTGTCTGCATGCTCTTTGAGTTTTTACCCCAAGGTGACCTCCACGAGTTCCTCATCATGCGTTCACCACACTCTGACGTCGGCTGCAGCAGTGATGAAGATGGCACTGTGAAATCCAGCCTAGATCATGGAGACTTCCTTCATATGGCCATACAGGTGGGGATATGAAAGCTATTTTTAGTCGAGATTCAAGTATTGCTGCTTTCTCAAGTTGATTGCGCTAAAAATTATCTCTCTTTGCGCCATTCACCTTGCTGTATACCAGCCATAGTTCGCAGCTACTTACTCCTTCAATGATTGTTTTCTTTATGACTAATCAACCCTAGGTGACTGCTGGGATGGAGTACTTGGCAAGCCACTTTTACATCCATAAAGACCTTGCAGCTAGGAACATTCTGGTGGGCGAACAGCTTCATGTCAAGATCTCCGACCTGGGTCTCTCCAGAGAGATCTACTCCTCAGACTACTTCTGCCTCCAGCCCAAAACTCTGCTGCCCATCCGCTGGATGCCCCCCGAGGCCATCTCTTACGGCAAGTTCACCACAGACTCAGACATCTGGTCGTTCGGAGTTGTGCTGTGGGAGATCTTCAGCTATGGTCTGCAGCCCTATTACGGCTTCTCCAACCAGGAAGTGATGGAGATGGTGAGAAAGAGGCAGCTGCTGCCGTGCCCTGAGGACTGTCCGCCAAGGTATGTTCAAGTTGATGTTGTTAATACCATAAGCTGTGAAGTAAATGAGGAGAATGCCATACAGTTCATACTGGTTGTGACTTATTTGTATTCTCACATTGTGTCACGAAGCTCACAAAATTCACTGTAGCTTCACTTTCTTCTGAAGAATAGACAACCAACGTGGCATGTGTCGGGCCCTCACTTTGTGTGTCAAAGGCCACGGATAAAAATTTTTCTAATTACTAACTTAAAAAACGAAATGTATTTAAGCCCCAAACACCAAAAATGTTGACCTCTTCAAAGCCCGATCACATAATGCAATGTAAAAGTAATCAGAGTTCCTAAAACTTCATGACTTTATTTCTCTCTTTTATTTTTTGATATTTGGACATTTGTAATGAAGAACTAACCATGAGAAGAACCACAAATGTAGATTTAGCTCTGTGAGGGCTACCACTGATAGAATACAGAGTAAAGAGAGAATGCACTAGCTTAAGCTTTATTACAATAAATATAATAAGTATTCATTCACCATATTAATAAAACAGTCTGCTTTTGGTATTAAAATCAATTTATCAGATTAAAATTGGCTTTTAAAGACTTTCTTTCAATCGCCTGATAACTAACTCTGTTGTCTCTCAGGTTTTATGGTTTGATGACTGAATGCTGGCAGGAGGGACCAGCGCGTCGACCACGCTTCAAGGACATCCACGCCCGCCTGCGAGCCTGGGAAGGGATGTCATCCCACGCCAGCTCCAGTACGCCCTCAGGTGGCGGAGGCAACGCGACCACCCAGACCACCTCGCTCAGCGCTAGCCCTGTCAGCAACCTCAGTAACCCACGCTACGCTGCTGCCGCCGCGGCTGCGGGTTACCTCTACCCTGCCCAGGCTATTCCCTCAGCAGGCCAGATGGCTCCGATTACAGCATGGACGCCCATGGCTGTGTCCCAAACCCACCAGCGCTTTATCCCCGTCAATGGATACCCAATCCCGCCAGGATACGCAGCTTTTCCAGCCCACTTCACTGCCCCTGTCCCACCGACTAGGGTCATCCAGCATCACTTGCCCCCTCCCAAAAGCCGCTCCCCTAGCAGCGCAAGCGGCTCCACCAGCACAGGTCACGTCAGCGGAGTGCCCTCCACCACGGGCTCCAACCATGACGCCAACACGCCGCTGCTTTCCCACTGCATCATGCCGGGGAGTGGAGGGCCGGCTCAGGTGTATGGACAAGTTTGCCAGAAGGGGGTGGGACAGCTGGACCACTCACAAACATCAGCACTGCTCGCTGGTGATTCTGACGTACTGATGTACAACGACACGGTCATCACCGCAGACCTGTAGATACATAGAGGGATACTCGCACTCTTCCTGCTTGGGACCCAAATTTGAGAAGTTATGCCTCTCAGCCAGGGACCCAGTCTAACATTTCTACTCTGGTCACATGGAGACCCAAAAGAAAAAAGGCCTGTAAGCACGCTTTGGTGTGCAAGAAACACTGCCGCAGCTACACAAGTATATACACATCTGTCTGACTTTTTAATGCCTTATTGTTTAAAGTGTACTTACTACCATGGTTTGAAAATGTTGTGTTATTATAACCTTTGTGTAAATACGGTACAGTCCTGAATGAATGAATGAAATACAAAGATATATATTCAAAAGAACTTTTTATTTAGGAAAAATTTTAAAGGTGAAAAAGTCCATCCTGTGTCAAAATAAATAGTTTGTATCACAGTCTGACAAAAAGTCAACAACCCAGTCAATGGATTGCTTCAAGCAGGATGAGAAGGAAACACTGACATTCATACCATGACCTTTAGGTGCCTTTCAGTAGTGGTGTGATTTGCTTGTTTCTGGACACATTAGAACACAAAATTGTGCTGTACATTTTCTTGTACAGTGAAAGAAACTGCATTTAGCAGGCAATAACCAAGCGAACAAGAATGGTACCAGCAGATTGAACAAACGAGAAGTTTAGCAGCTTTTACTGGGAATACCAGCACTGATCTGCATGAATACACCAGTATACAAGACCTACAGGTGACATACCCCCGCCTTTTGGGTTCCAGCAGCCCGGCTATGTCAAACTAAAACAGATACAGGTAATAAGTTGGCTATAAATACCCGTCCAGGCACTGAGATCTGGCAGATTGGATCATCATCATCATCATGCAAAACCCTTTCGGAAATGACACCTGAATGTTTTTTGTGCAACCTCAACATGACTATCTGACACTTTTGCAACATGGACACAGGCCTCTTTGCCTTTTTCAAATCTCAGTGTACAGTTTTCCAGGCTGAGGAACAAGGCAGCTGGGAGTACATCTGATTGGACAATAAACCCGTCATTCCTCTCTCTAACCATCACAGGTTATCCATTCATCATATCCACATCCTCATTTTCTCTTCTCACACCATCTTCCTTGGGTTCCGAGCAAATATGGCATCTAATTTCAAAAGCTGGCTTCAGTGGCCCCCCCACAGATCTACAAATGAAATTACACAGCACTCATATCCTCCACAGATGAACTGGACCGGTCTCAGGGCAAACGCTTCATTCACCACTCGAGGGCTGGGGTCAATTTACTGTCAGTGATGTAAGCTAAACTTTCACCCTCACAAAAGAACATGTTTATTGTAAATTGGTTGTGGTGTTTTAATTTTTAAGGGAGAGTTTTTCAGTATTTAAAATTTGAAGGAACTTAAGGATTTTATTCACAGGGCTTGTCTTCATGTCTTTGTCATTTCCTTTCCTGTTTTTTGGCATCTCTATTGTGGAAAAATATACCGTTGAAGACATGGAGGAATGAAAGTACTCAAAGCAGGGAGGGTTGGAGGCTCATACTAGATAATGTTACCATCACAAAAATGAGCCTCTGTCTGTATTTTGTAATGTCTCAGCCATGTGCATGAACAAAAACTCATATAGTAGTATGTTTGATGTGCTTGAATTTATGCCCCCTCTATGCTTGAACAGAAGAATGTTTGACCTAAAAAAGGATACATTTTATGAGCTGGGGACTGACTGTGTCACTACATGCAAAGAGATTTATGTATGTCGCTCCTATTGATTATGTATTAGTAAATGTTGAGTATCGTGGAGTCAGTGAACACCTGGCGCCAAATGTACTGACATGTACGTGATCCCAACATGGCAAGAAAAAGAACAAAATTAATCTGCCCATTTTCTATTGCCTTTTGAGTCTCTAAAATTACAGCTGTGTGTTGTTGTTTTTTTCAACATATCCACTGTTCAGTAGCAGGTAATCATGTATGGTGTTGGATTTAATTACTCAAATATCCTTTGTGAGATGAAGACGTTTGAAGAAGAGCTCTCAGTCCTGTAATCACACAAATGATCCCTCAGCTCTGCTCTGTGTTATTATTAGATGATGAGCTGATTAGAAGCACAGCTTAATATGAAGCTTTTGTTACGGGGACGCTGGAAGGCAGTCAGAGGTTGGGGGTGCTGAGAGAAAGTCTGTCTAAGATAAGGATGTCATACTGAATGCTAAATGCATGACATTTATGATTTTTGCATTAATTTGAATGGGCAGGATAATTTATAGCTGATTTAATAGTTATTAACAACATTTTATAGAAATTCTGTAACTTTTTAGTGGATAAAACTGATAAAAAAAAAAAAAAAACAAGGCAAAAACTATTTCGTGTCGTAAATACCACTGTATAAATGTAAATCCCAGTAAAAAAGGAGAACGTTTTTACATTTTTATGAACTAATGGTTTTCATTATGGGCAGCCCCCTCAGCACCCCTACTTCGTTCATTTAAAACATGTCATAGAACCAGCAGCAGTAACAGAACAGTTTGTGATCTTAGTGGTACCTGTATAGTAGACAATCATAAGTAAACTGTATGTATGTGTTGCACTCTGCTGTTGTTTACAGACTATCATTCTATCAATCAGCTGTAATTTTCTAACCAGCATGACACAAGGTTACACTGACAGCATTTCACTGTGGCTGTGCAGAGCAGAAAGCACAGTGAAGACGGCTTGTTGCCTGTAGTGCGTTTATTTTTTAACCGTTTTAATGTTAAAGTTTTAAGTTGACATTTGTGGAATGTAGATAGACAAGACTTCAGTATTTAGTTCATCCACCCTTTAAAGCCTTGACCCTTTAAACCACAAGGCTGCAAGAAGAGTAGCTGCCCCCATTCAGGTAGAATAAAATTTAAAATGTCTTTATTTTACCCCGAAATAATTTATTTAACCAAATATGGTCAACAGAAGCAGATTGTCTGCCATTAGCAAAATGGAGGGAGAAGATATTTGTTCCTTATGTCAGATCTAGTCCACAATGATTTGAATCATTTTAAGTTAATTTTCCCATCAAGTTTTTATTTCATTGCTGTCTTTTGTCTCTGTACTTTATCTTTTTGTTCCTCTGAAGCAGATCGAGCTACCTTGGCATCTAAGTTTGTACCTCCAGCATGTAAAGGATTTATGTGTACTAATATAGCAGTGCAAAAACCACTTGTACACAAGACTGTGAATCTTAATCAAGTCTAGGTATTTTTGTATTTGGCAAAATAAATCTTTCTTGTGCCTTTTTTTTTTTTTTTTTTGTCGTATTCGAGATCCATTAAAAAAAAAAGACTAAATACAATTAAATTTATATTTCAGTGTACCCATTACAGAAGGTTTACATGCTTATCCTTTTGACCAAGAGAGGCCTTGTCTTTGTATTTTGTCTGAACATTTTTGCACAGATGTTTTGTATTGCAAAATCATTTATTAAATGATGTTGTTTGGTTAAAATTGGAATTAATATGATTATTAATGTGAAGGCATGCAGAAAGTTGTATGTTGTTTGTATGTTTGTGTGTTTTTATTGTAATGAGGAATTCCCAACGTTGGTCTCAGAATTGTTATGGCAGTGTGAATCCACTGGGTATCACCAAATCACCATTTCTGTGAATCGTCTTGAATTTGTCTTGCTCCTAAATGTAATAACCCTTGTTGACCAGGTGGTGGGGCCCTCTAGCTGTTTGAGGCATAGGTATGAGCTTCATAACAGCTGGAAATAATATTAGTCCAGCTAGAATTTGGCAAAAGATGGAAATATGACTCTAGTATAATGTTCCTCTGTGCTTACTTGTGTGTATCAGTGTGTGTTTTTGTGTGCATTTGCTTATTTCCTGCTTAGACTTTGCACACTGAATGAGCCAAAACAGCTTAAAATTAACCAGAATGGCTGTGAGTATGTCTTACCATGCCAAAAAAAAGATGCTGTACATATATGGAGATGATTTGATGTACACATGGCTCTCGTGTAAGCTGCGTGTGTGTGTGTGTGTTAGAGAGAGAGAGAGAGACATACAGCAAATCAGCAATTCTTAATCACACACCACATTTAACATACAGATTCCTTAAAGTAATTTGGCTCTGCTCTACTTAAATTATAAAAACCCACGCCCAAACTATTAGTGGTGATATCTAGCCATAGGGATAGTTTGGTTTCATTTCTCCAGGTTCTCCAGATAAATATCTTACTAAGAAATAGTCCATACGACATTTTTAGCTTTTGACGCCATAAAATGAAGCTCTGGATTATTATGACGTTTAATCAGCTTGCATGTTTACAGGATGTGACCAATCCAAGCAATGAGTGATTTTTCCTTCTCAGATTCATTTGAATAGTTTTTAAAGGCCTGAAAAGGATAAAAGATTATAGATTACTCTGTTACAGAAGAACAAGGTCCTTTCACTTCTATTGCACTTTGTTGAGGAGACATAATCAGACCCAATCTGCATTCATAGATTTCACAAGAATGAAGTTTTTAGTAGAGGGTGAAGATATCTTTAAAAAAAAAAAAGATGGAGCTCCCGCTCAGTGCAAGACATGTTGACTGTTCCTTTATTCCCTAGTGTGAATCTCTGTGTGTGTGTGTGTGTGTGTGTGTGTGTGTGTGTGTGTGTGTGTGTGTGTGTGTGTGTGTGTGTGTGTGTGTGTGTGTGTGTGTGTGTGTGTGTGTGTGTGTGTGTGTGTGTGTGTGTGTGTGTTGGCAGGTAAAGAGGAAAAGAAGAAAAAGAAAAGCTATGCATAGAAAAACAGAATTGACTCCTAACAACATTTTCTGCTGCCGTTCTGGAACAGTTTGTATTATGAAAATGTTCTGCGAGTAGCAGTAGCAGAGAAGTAAACTCCCATGACTTCTTCATCAGAGGCACAGAGCTCTGAAATTATTGCATATAATTTCTCCCAAGGCAAGATCATTTGGTATGCTTGCAACTGTAGCCAGAGAGACTGAGAGAGAGTGAGACAGAGGAGGGAAAAGGAGGAGAAAAAAGGAGGCATCTGTAGTTGATAGACTGATAGAGCAAGAAACTCACATCTGATCTGAGATGCCAGGATGAGTCTGAGTCTGCTGCTGCTCCTTTATCTTGACTGTGCAGTTTGTGTTAGACAAAACACAATTTTTGGGATATGAAACACACCCTCCTTGGCATCTGGGTTAAAACTGATTAACATTGTTTTGAAAACTGAATGTTTTCTGTTGTTTAACAGCTTTTGAATGACTATATTAAGGTCACAGATATTGATTATTTTCATTATTGGTTCATCTGTCAGCTGTTTTTAATCACTTAGTCTATAAAATATCAGTAAAGAATGTGCAGTGTGACATCTTCTTATTGGTTGTTTAGTCTAAACCCCCAAAATATTCAATGTCAATATATCATAATACAATATACATTTTCTTGGGCTACCTTTGGGCAGCAGAAACAAGTTGTGAACACAACATTGACATATTATCACCTCGTAAAGGTAGAGTGTGCAGGATTTAGTGGCATTTAGCAGTGTAGTTGCAGATTGCAACTTTTTTGCTTCACCCTCCCCTTCCAAGTGCAAGGGAGAAACTACAATGGACTCAAAACACTAGTGTTTGGTTTGTCCCTTCGGGGCTACTGTAGGAACATGGCAGCCTCCACGGAAGGTGACCTGTGGCGTCTATAGAAAAAAACAGGTCATTCTAACGTAACGAAAAACTCTAATTAAAACACAGTTCTGCGTATTATATCCAATTTCTGCCAGTAGATCCTCCTAAATGTTACACTCTTGACCTTTAAGTTGATATGGCAAACAACTGCATCCAGCAGTTATGGAGTAACACTGACATTATTTGGAGTCGTGTTTTTGGCCACCTAATGAATGTAAGTTTATTATATAGTCACTATCTTTTAGCCTGAAGAAGTGTCTGAAGCTGTTAAATGCTCCACTATGTTCCCTGTGTCTGCAGCTGTTTGGTGCTGAGCAGGTAGGGTCCGATCAATTTTTAGAGCTATTTTCAACACTATTAGAGAGGTGAGTGTGAATCAAAACAGTAAAGTTGTTGCCGGAGAGCTGAACAATGAGCTGAAACTGTCTAAAAAGCTCTGGAGGGGAGCTGCAGATTCAGGTGATCATTCTCTGTCAGTTCATCACTACCAGCACTTGTAATTAGTGTATTTAGTTTAATCCAGGGGGGGTCACAAGCCAAAGTGATTGGAAACCACTGGTTTAATCTTTAATGCACTGCATTTAGTAGTAGTAGTATTCAGTAGCTGTCAGACACATCTAATGGAGTAAATGTACAATAATAGTATAAGGTATCATAAAATGGAAGTAGCTATACCTCAAAACTTTTAAGGACAGTTAAGTGTACTTATAGTCACTTTCCACCACTCCTAAATCGACAGATTTGTCTCAAACTCTGACTGATAGGTGCAGTGGGGATGGGTGTGCCCTGCCCTGATTCTAAATCCCTCTGGTTCAAAGCCAGAGGGGCTACTCTATATAACTGAGGACGACCACTCCCTCTCCTCCGATGACAGTAAAGCCCTGAGGGCGCTCTCTGCTAAAGGAGCTTCATTAAGCCTCTTGAGTTCAGGGTGTAATGGGCTGTAATGGGCTTTGAAAGTAAAGAAGAGGCTGCAGAAGAGAATGCATTTGGTTTTAAGAGAGAGAGATGGATGAATGAAGGGTGGAAGGAGGGGGATACAGGTAAAGTGCATTGAATGGCCGAGAGGGATTATGTGTAGTTTTAAAGTACAGCATAAAGCAAAGGAGTCATTAGGGTGAAATGTATCGGCTTTACCATGAGGTCTTTTGGATACAACTTGTAAACCATGTGTAAGGGCAGAGTGGTGCGATGTAAAGGGATCCAAAACCAGATTGTTTCCAGTTGTGGGATCTGGCTCCATCTGAGTTTACTAGGAGGATCTGGAGTGAAAGTAAAATGTTGATGATACAATTGACTGTTGAACACAACCTGTTTATGTTATTGTTGTTTTTTTTACTGTTGAAATGAGAGAACTTGTTTTATGACCCCAGGTTTTATAAAACTATCTGAAAGGGTAAGATATGTAATTGATTGTTGGAAATAAAATTGAGGATAGTTTCTGTTTTATATCATAATAAAATAAACCCTAAAAGGGTTTAGATCTGTTGGTTGAACAAAACAAGACTTTCTGAAGACCTTTGGGCTCTGGAAAATATTTGAACTGAAAAATATTATCAACTGGAAGATGACAAACCAAATCGAAGTGGCAAGGTTTTCAGTTTTCACTCTCTTCCTCCTCTATTTTTATAAATGTGCTTACATACAGCTTGACATACAGCAAATGACAAAAATATTTCATTTTCCATATCTCAACTGTCGCTCAGAGGCCCAATGTGTAACATTTAAGATAGGCAGAAATGGAATATAATATGCAGATGGCTGTGGCTCAGCGGGTAGAGCTGGTGATTGGTCGCTGGTTCAATCCCTGGCCCCTCCTGTTGCATGTCGGCCTGAATGAGTTAGTTTGTGATGGCCTTTGTCATCACTGTATGAATGCATCTGAATCTGGCATGTAGTGTTGAGCGCTTTGAGTGGTCGGAAGACCAGAAAGGCGCTATATCATTAGTGTATAATCACATTAAAGTAAGAATTGTTGTGTTTTTGTTACCATAGAAGGACCTGTTTTTATCTACAGTTCACCGTCATGTTTCTACAGTAGCCCAGAAGGAACAAACCAAACACTGGCTCTAGATAGTAGCGTTGGTTTTTGTACATTTCATGGCCACCAATGCTTCTCCTTTGCATTTGAAAAGGGACGATGAAGCAAGAGTTGCAACTACACTGCTAGATGCCACTCAATCCTACACACTGGACCTTTAAGATGTAAAACTACTTTACTAACTCCTCCTCCATCCTGGCTGTCTAATTAATGTTGTGGAGTAGAAATATAAAACAGCATACAATGGAAATACTAAATAAGTCAAGTACAACTAACTCAATATTGTACTTAAGGCCAATGCTTGAGTGAATTAACTTAATAACTTTACACTGCCAAGTGTGTTACACATTGATTCTTCTCATGCAGAAAACTAGATGATAGAGCACTCCTGCTTGTGACAACCGAAGGCTTCCACTTTGATGATATGATGACTGAAAGGAAGGGATACAGATATATGTTGAGGGAGGGGGGAGGCAGAGAGAAGGATACAGTTTCACCCTCCTCTCGCTCTGTCGTGGTGGCGCTGGAAACCTCCAACAAGCCCCTGATTGTTGAGGAACATGAGCTGTTTTTGTTGAGGGGCTGACAGGCGCTTGACCTCTGCTGTCCGCGCTGCCACATACTGACCTTGGAAAGAGGAAGTGAAGTGAAGCCTTTGAACACTGTCAAGTGAACTATCACTGCCTTGTTTAATTTCCCCCAGGGCTTTGACAGAGCTGGGATAGGTCATGTGGACTATAGTCATCTGCCTGATTCATGCAAATTGTTTTCTCCATTAA